GAGGTTGGGATGCAGGTGGAGATACAGATGCAGGCTCCAGGCGGCAGTGTGGGGGCAGGAAGGGGCTGAGGGCTGGGGTGTACCGGGCTGGCTCTGGGTGAGCCTGGTGCAGGAGGTTGGGATGCAGGTGGAGATACAGGTGCAGGCTCCGGGCGGCAGTGTGGGGACAGGAAGGGGCTGAGGGTTGGGGTGTACCGGGCTGGCTCTGGGTGAGCCTGGTGCAGGAGGTTGGGATGCAGGTGGAGATACAGGTGCAGGCTCCGGGCGGCAGTGTGGGGACAGGAAGGGGCTGAGGGTTGGGGTGTACCGGGCTGGCTCTGGGTGAGCCTGGTGCAGGAGGTTGGGATGCAGGTGGAGATACAGGTGCAGGCTCCGGGCGGCAGTGTGGGGACAGGAAGGGGCTGAGGGTTGGGGTGTACCGGGCTGGCTCTGGGTGAGCCTGGTGCAGGAGGTTGGGATGCAGGTGGAGATACAGGTGCAGGCTCCGGGCGGCAGTGTGGGGACAGGAAGGGGCTGAGGGTTGGGGTGTACCGGGCTGGCTCTGGGTGAGCCTGGTGCAGGAGGTTGGGATGCAGGTGGAGATACAGGTGCAGGCTCCGGGCGGCAGTGTGGGGACAGGAAGGGGCTGAGGGTTGGGGTGTACCGGGCTGGCTCTGGGTGAGCCTGGTGCAGGAGGTTGGGATGCAGGTGGAGATACAGGTGCAGGCTCCGGGCGGCAGTGTGGGGACAGGAAGGGGCTGAGGGTTGGGGTGTACCGGGCTGGCTCTGGGTGAGCCTGGTGCAGGAGGTTGGGATGCAGGTGGAGATACAGGTGCAGGCTCCGGGCGGCAGTGTGGGGACAGGAAGGGGCTGAGCGTTGGGGTAAGTAGGGGCTGTGGGGCGCTGGCCATGGTCTCCAGCTTGGTGGTGCTTGTCATGGGAAGCTCGTAGTGCACGGTGCAGCAGTCTCAGAAGTAGCCGGCACACATTCTCCCTTGGCGGGGAGCAGAGGGTCTCCACATGATGACCCTGCCTGCAGGCCCTGTTAGCCAGAGTTCCTAGCCAATGCTGGAGGCAGGAGCAGCGCATGTAGATGCTCAGCCCCACCTCTGAGACAACAAGCATGTGCTGAGCACTTCCAGGATCATGAGCTGTTCTCCCATCCTCCCCAACCCAGCCCACATGCAGAAACTGAGCTGGCTGCACAAAGAGCCTGGTGTAGCCACTTGCCCTCCCCCCTGGGGCTGTGCTATGGCCCATCTTTGGGTCCCTACTCGCAATTTGGGAACCCCTGAACTACATTCTCATAGTTGGCCCTTCTGACTTTATAACCTACAAATCTACTCACATTGGGTTTTCAGAAGAGCTTGGGTCACAGTTGGGGCAAAATGGTAGAAGTAAAATCAAAATTCAGATCCAGCTCAGCATCTCATGCATGCACATATGATTGGACAGATGGGGTCAGCCCAAAGGTCCATGCAGCCCAGAGTGTCTGCCCACAGTGTCTGCCCACTGTCTGCCCACAGTGGCCAATGCCAGGTGCCCCAGAGGGAGTGAACAGCAACAGGTACCATCTAGTAATCCCATCGCTGTTACCCACACCCAGGCTATGTCCAGACTGTAGGCTTCTTTTGGAAGAAGCTTTTCTGGAAGAGATCGTCCAAAAAAACTTCCAAAAGAGAGCAGCCACTCTGCCAGGCTGTGTCTACACTGGCATGAATTTCCAGAACTGCTTAAAATGGAATACTATTCCGTTTTCAGTTTTTCCGGAAAAGGAGCGTCTACATTGGCAGCGGAAAAGACTACTGGGCTGTCTACACTGGCCCTTTTCCGGAACAGTGTTCCGGAATAAGGACTTATGCCCGAGTGGGAGCAGAATAGTTTTTCCGGAATAGCGGCTGATTTTGTACAGTAGAGCATTGTTGCTTTTCCAGAAATTCAAGGGCCAGTGTAGACAGCTCGCAGCTTATTCCGGAAAAGCGGCTGATTTTCTGGAATAAGTGGCCCAGCGTAGACACAGCTCCAAAGGGCATCAAAAAAGTGATCTACTTTTTCGACAGACAGCGTCCACACTGAACGGATGCTATCTCGCATGTAAGTTGTGATTCCTATGGGCGGAATGGCCACCAGAGCACCTGTGCTTTTTCCTCTTCCCTCTTCTTGCAGAAGAACTCCCTCTTCCCCGTCCACACACGCCTTTTTCCAAAAGAGCTCTTTCGCAAAAAGGCTTCTTCGTAGCAAGAGGGTTACCAGTGTCGGAGAAACCCCTCTGTTCTTTGGTTTTTCGAATGAACGCAATTGCAGCGTGGACGTAATTGAAGTTTTTTCAGAAAACCGCCTTTTCCCAAAAAAGCGCAGTGTAGTCATATCCCCGGTTTCTGATAAACAGAGGCTAGGGCCGCCATTCCTGTCCATTGATGGGCTTATCCTCCTTGAATGTATCTAGCTCTTCTTTGACCCCTGCTATAATGGTCATGTGAATGTGAAAGAAAGCAAGTTGGCCAGCATGATGTTCAATGGCAGATGCAAAAGATTGGCAGACCTAACGAGTTAGTAGACTGGGACTCAGTCCCTCTATTCTCACATAGAATTACAAGTTTTCCTTTCGGACGCTCCTTTCCGCACCTACAGCATGATCCACAGGCTCACAAAAGCAAATCACATTGCACTCTTGAAATAGAATGCTAGGTGCCTCAGCCCTGCCCCTGCCATGCACCTTGTTAATTATCCCTTGGGTTAGTATTTGTTCTTCTATACCGATTTAAACCGTGTGCGTGTGTTAGTAACTGGTGGGGGCCAGAGCGGTGCACAGCCCAACAAACGCACATGATGTCAATGCTGGTGCACAAGACAAAACTCACTCCGCTCCCAGATGGGAAATCTTAGCGGGAACACTGCACCCAACCCCCCATATTCCCTCCCTGTGCCAGCCCCCAATATCATCCCTAGAGCCCCCCAGTGCTTTCCCCTGCCTTTGAGAGCCTCCCTCACCTAGCCCTGTGCTGCTGTGCCAGGCTGTGTGCGGCCCTCCCGCTGCACAGCGAATTGCTCTTCCACATCTAGGAGGACACTGCCTCTGCCCAGTGCTGAGGGGGGGGCAGGACACGCCTCTCCCAACAGCCATGGGCAGTGTACCCCAAGCCCGGCCCCCAGAGCCCCCGCAGACCGGTGAGCGGGAACTGCTGCTTGTTACCATAAGAGGGAACTGCATACGAACATGGTGGGAGTGGTCCTAGCTCCTCCCACGTCGGGAGCTCTTGTCTAGAGACACAGACTCTGGAGCTGAGCCCTTTGGGGTCTTTTGCACTGGATACTTGTAGGGAGTTCTTCCACCAGAACAAAATACTTTGGAGGAGGGGGGCGTGGTGGGAAAGACACGTCACAGTCTGCAGTGCTGCCCAGACTGGCTGCTGGGTTTGGTTGGGTTGTACCAGGGAGCTGAGATTCATTCCTCAACCTGGGGCCATCCTTGGTGCTTGCCTAATGCATCCTGTGCTTTGTGCTGTGTGCAGAGGTTCGCTAGCGAATACATCACTGCAGAGTCACTGGGAGGAAAGTCCTCTGAGAAATCAAGCTGTAACTTGTCAGATGCACAAAGCAATCCACACGGGGAAATCTTAGGGCTGAACTAGAGCGAATTGCTCCAGCAGGGATGGGAAGCAGACACTACACAAGGAAACTGTTCAGTGTTTCCATAGGCGTATGCCCAGACTTGTGCTGGCACAAGCAGAACTGAGCAGCAGGAGAATGTTTCTCCACCTAATTTGTTCAGCTTTTCAGTGTACCTGACTTTCTGGATAAGCCAATTGGACAAGGAGGAAGCTACCTTACCCCTTTTCTGTGTAATGGAGAGAGAAGCCAATCCACAAAGACTTGATGACTTGCTCAGTTATCTGTGCTGTGATGGGGGTTGTTCTTGGCAACGGATTTATTGAAATCTGCAAAGTCAGCACATCAGCACAGCTTGGGAAACCCACAAGCAAAGCAGCTAGCAGAGCTTGGCAAAGCACCTTAGCATTGCAAACTCAGCATACTGCGCGATTGTCCATGCTGCACGGCAAAGCACACGCAGCCAGTACTAGAGGGGGAATCCGGCGCGGTGTGAAAAAGCCAACGTCGCATGCAGCATGGGCCATGTGGCACAGTGTGAACAGAGCACTCAGAGCAGCGAGGTGTAGGCAAAGCAGCAGCGTTTGGTACACAAAGAATTCCCAGTTGCAGACAACACCAATCTCCAAGCTGACAAGTCAGGAGCTACTTGCCCCCATTCTCCCAGTGAATAATGGAAATTTCACATGTCACAGGGGAAGCAGGGAGGGGAGAGATCTCAGGGCTGCCCCCAGGACTCAGGGACTTTGTGGAAGGCTAAAAGAGAAATTCTGGAATGCGAGAGGCTGTGCTCAGCACCAGTGGTTCTTCTCTTGGTCCATGTTTTATCAACTACCTGATTGTTCGGGATTCCTGTGGTTTCTTCCCGTGCCATGTCAGTCAAACTCACAATGGCTTCTCCTCAGCTTAGCACTGGGGGCCCAGTGCTTGTAATAAGGCATCACAATGGCCCCTTTGCCTGGGCAAATCCACCAAAGCAGGAGGAATCAGACCTGGAAAAGGGGTGGAATACAGCTAATGGGAAACTGCTCAAAATCCTCCCAAGCCTGCACTCCCCCCTCTTTTTCACTCCCTGCTGTGATCACTTCCACCTGGGGGGCGATGGGATGGCCCCTGGGGCCCTCGGGGAAAGTGCTTCTTGCCCCCAGAGGTAAATGACTGATTGTGGGCTCTTGCAGCAGCTTTGCTTCTTCAAAAACCCTGCCAGCCAGAAGCTTCCTGCACAATCTTCCACTACTACAACCACCGCAGATTGCCCTGGCTTCCCTCATAAGCAGACTAGAGAAGACAGCCTTGGTAGGTTCCGGTAACCACGACACGTGCCAAAGGTCTCAAGTTTGCTGGTCCTTCCTCTTCTTACCACTGTCACCTGAACCGCAGGCCAACAGAGACACAGCGGGGCCTGAACGGCAAGCGTCCCCTGCAGCAGGAAGTCTGATTCCTTCTGGCCTGGTGCAGCTCCCATCCTCATGGGGTGGACCCGTCTGCCCAGAACTCATCAGGTGGCTCACAAGGGGGGAGGTCGGTGCTTGTGGAAGGCATTTTCTAGGAAGTTGGCCAGCATTTCACAGTCATCCTAGCAGAAAGGTTAAAGTGGGTTAGGCTTGCTGCAGCTGAGAGCACGTCCCACAGAACCCTGTCCTTGTCCACGCTCAGTTTGGCAGGTGACCTGTGTGCTATATGGGCCACATGCTCAGGAGACTGTCCAGGAACGAAGTATAAATGCACCATCTCACAAGTGCTCTGCAGATAAAGCTGTTTGCCAGAGGACCCTGAGGTAGCCTGGGGAGGGTCAGGATTTAGAATGAGGAAGTCTCCCAGACTTCACTTTCAATCTCTGAATCCCCAACTCATGGCTAAAACAACACCATCCCCCCCAAAGTGTGTCTGCTTCCCCCTAGCCATGGCTTCTGCAGGCTGCTCTGCGACTCCAAGCGTCTGCCGTCTCCTGACTCTGGACGGCTGACCTGGCAGGGCCCTCCCTGGGTCGGAAGAGGGCCGTGCTGTTTGGTGGTGTGGGAACTGGTTGCCTCTGGAGGTCACAAAGTCTCATCTGGGCTCTTTAATGTAGGCAGCTGTTCTGGTTTTGTACTCCAGAATCTTTCTAAATTTGGTCCCACTCACCAGAATGACATGGCTACAGTCACTGGAGCCAGGCTGGAGCACAGCAGGTAAACAAAAGGTGGCCCCATGGCAAAAAGAAAAGTGGGTTCATCATGCAACTATTAACGGGTCCTGTCTGACCCTGGCCGCAGCCATAAGAACAAGCTGCTCAGCTAGGAATATACATGAGTACCCGCCGCAGCTCCGGGCCCTTGTGCCCCCCAGGCTTAGGGAGTGGTGGAGAAGGAGAGGGCCCTGCCGGAAGGACCCGCAGCCTCGCAAGGCAAGGGGAGGAGCTCACCTCGTGGATGAATCCGTAGTGTACCAGCTCTGAGGCCAAGCCCTTGGAACTGTCAGCTGCAGAAACAGGGTTAACTGTGAGAATGGGAAATTCATGAAGGCCGGCGTTCCCTCCAGAGAGCACCTCTCCTGGCACACAGCCCAGCAGGAAGCTGCTGCCAATGCGCTTGGCTCTGGGAATATGCCCGGTGAGCACTGGCCCATGTGATTCTGGGGCAGACAGTGTGGAGGGGAGCCCCAAGGGCTGGGTGGAACGAGCCCAGACCAGGCAAAGTGGCCGTCCCAGCAGGATGCTGCTTGGAGATGCTTGGCTCCTTTTGACTCAGAAACCTGGTGCCTGGAGATCCCTGGTCCCGTGGGGCTGGGTGGAGCTCCTGTCCTCCCCACGAGTTGGGCTTGAACCGGGCATGCTCTGAAGAGACCCACCCCAGGCTCTGCAGCTGAGCCAGGATGAATGGCCAGGAAACTGACACCTGACAAGGGCTGCTCGTCACCCTCCCGAGGTCTCTTCCCTTTCACGAAAGCTGCAGATGACGGCTGCTGTCTTGGGAGAACTCTCCTGCTTCCCCGGCGCTTCGCAGCTGGGCACCAGGCTGTGGTGAGGGGTGAAATTCTAACCCGGCAGCACGCACTTTCCAAGGGCTGCGAGCTCCGGACTGGGGATGTTCAGTGTCGGCTAATTACATCGTCGAGTGACCTCCTGAATTCCTATCGGTTAGTCGATGGTCCTCGGGGTGGGGCTGGCAGCCAGTGCGCTCCAGCCTCGCCTCCTGAGGATCCCTGCTGCTCCGTGCTGCTGCCTCTGTAGAAGAGGCAGAAGTGCCGGGTGCCAGGCAGGAGCAGATCCATGAGGGGAACCAGTTTAAAAACCAGCCTGTCGCTCCGTGCTCCTGCTTCTGATAAAGAGGCAGCAGCATAGGGTGGCAGCAGCCCCTCTCTAGGGTGGGTCTGGGCTCCCCAACCTGGTGTGAGCCGGAACTGAGCAGGGCTGCCTGCCCGCCCAGTGCCTAATCCCCTTCAATGCAGAGCCGCAGCAGGGGTAGGTCCCGGACCCATTTCAAACCAGAACTTCTGGCCAGCCTGCTAAAAAATGGGCAGGCGGGCGGGGAGGGATGCATGCAGTCGATAGCACTAACCTATACGCTTATGCTTATCGGTTAATCGACTGCTCTATCACATCCCTACGCCAGACACCCAGTGCTCTGGGGCCTCAGGTGGGCAGGACCCTGCATCTGAGTGGCAGGGATCAGTCTGCCTTTTCCAGCAGAGGGAGGAGAGTAACCAGGCTGCACACAGCCTGCAAGCTCTCTGGGGGAAGGCCTGTCTTCCTGAGACTCTGCGCACGGCCTTGTGCCGTGGGAGCTGCGCACAGCGACCAGGCCAACAGCAGGCACGACACTCATCAGTAAACTTACTTGGCAGCAGGTCGTAACTTAACTGCCGGTGCAGCTTGTCCTCCAGGGTTAGCAAGAGCGTGAGCTGCAGCAGGAAGAGAGAGCCTATTAGAAAGAGCATCAGCTGCTCCTTAGCAGGCTAACAGGAATCTCACACCTGAACCTGCTGGGAGGAGCAGGTGGACTTGCTGCAAGAGATCATGGGTGGCTAGTCAGACCTGCCCTCTGAAGGGCCTGCCTGGAATGAACGTGCCCTTTCCTCCGTCACAGCTTGCCTGGCGCCCAGTGCAACCATCCGGATTCCCCTCCCCACCCTCGCTCCAGGCTGCAGTGAGAGCCCTGGAGTTCCTCGCAGAGGACACCGAGCCCCAGTGTCGTCCTTCTGGCAATAGTACACGAGCCGCAGGTCAGAACCTCCTTGCCCACTAACGCCAGACCCTGCTTTTGGCTCCCTCTTTCTAAAGCAGAGCCACAGCCCACGGCTCTGTCCCTTTGGCACCACAGAATCCCCAAGAGACGGCCAGGGTTTCCAGCGGAGCAGGGGACTCAGCCCCGCCTTGTTCCAGGGCAGAACATAAGAGCGGCCATCCTGGGTCAGGCCAAAGGCCCATCCAGTCCCGTCTCCTGCCTGCCCACAGGGGCCAATGCCAGGTGCCCCAGAGGGAGTGACCAGAACGAAATGGTCACGTGATCCCTCCCCTGTCGCCCATTTGCAGACAAACAGAGGCAGGGCCACCATTCCTACCCAGCCTGGCTAACAGCCATTGATGGACCCAATCTCCATGCATCTATCTAGCTCTTTTTTTGAACCCTGTTAAAGTCCTGGCCTTCCCCACATCCTCTGGCGAGGAGTTCCACAGGCTGACTGCACTGAGTGAAGAAAAACATGTCTGGGACTGACACACCTGGAGCTAAATGCAGGATCCCAGCTGGGGCCTCCCCAGGGCCCTGGGAAAGAGGGATTCTCCCTTGCAGATCCAGCATGGGAAGCCTCTGGACTGACAGACTCGGAGCCAGGTGCAGGATCCAGCGGCTTTCCCCTCCCCACTCCTACATGCTCCCATTGGCCTTGGGGCTGCCATACCTCATGGCAGACTCAGTCTGATGTGCCTCTCCCAATCCCCCAATCTCTCCACATCCAACTTCCCAGGCACCGCCCTGTCCCCCGGCCCACTGGCGGGTCTGTTATTCCAAGCTCAGAGCTCTGCCCAGTTACAAGCAGAGCCGTCCCCTTCAGATGATTTGGGGCATGTGCTCCAGTCCCACGCTTTGGGGGACCCCACCGTGGCCACCCCAACCGTCCTCATTGAGGGGGAAGCCTGGGGAATCCCCTGGGGGTACGGGAGCAGGGGCCACATTGGCTGGGTGTTTATTTGTGGAACTACAAAGCCAAGCGCACCCATTTGTTAGTGGGACATTTCAAAGTGTGGCTCCTCCCCCTCCCCAGACCCTGCCGCCCACCTGCCTTGCTAGCGCAGCGCCCGGCACAGGGCCCGATCCTGCCTCTGCCTGCCACTAGTAAGCGTCCTGGCAGCCATTGGTCAGGGAAAGGGCAGGACAGGCAGGCAGAGGGCTCTGGACTGGGCCGGTCACTTACGTGCCACTGGGCCTTCTCTTCATTCAGCTCCATGCTACACTGCATCTGCACCACCTAGGAGAGACCAGGCAGCATCGGCATGGGGGCAGCACAGGGCACGTTGGCTCTCCCAGATCCCTGGCCTCCCCTTCCGACTTGCACCCCACACCCACGGCCTGCTGGCCACCTAAAGCCGCCTCCCCTCCCCTCCCCGTAGGAACGGCCAGACCCAGCTAGGGCTGCGACCGTGGCCTTGAGAAGTCTGGGCTCTGTGCTTCGCATGGGGAGACAGAGCAGCCTCCCCTCCCCAAGAGGTGGGGACAGAGCCAGGGCTCACACATACCCCCCCCCGCCCC